AGTGGAAGGTTGTGATGAAGAAGAAATTGATACCTGAGAGAGTGAGGAATCTTATCAAGAATCCATTTAAGAACCAAGTAGTTGCATGTCATGAAAAAGGTTACTTTATGCAAAACGTCCTTTTTCAAATAATATTGATTCAGATGTAAAGCATTTTACAGGGCTTTCTTAAATTTTGATTTAAATCTCAGCTTTTCAAATCTAGTAATTCAGTTACCTGGAAAACTAAATTATGTAAAATATTAAGTCCAGAGATGAAGAAAAATGGGCCTGGAAAAAGAAGAGAGAAATTAAGTCACAGTCTTGCTTTCATCAGATTAGGAGGAAAAGAAGTGAACAGGAGAGGTTGCAGAGTTCCCTTCCATGTCCTTCAAGCAGTATTTAAAAAGTTCTGCGGCAAATAATAAACATTTTGGTGAATTTTTAGGAGTGATTATAATGACAAGAGACACCCACAATGAGTTTCTTAGATGATACAATCGAATGGCATGACTAGTGATGAAATGCATGAGATCTATGATTGAAGGTCACCCATTGCATGCCTGGCTCCACCACTCACCAGATGAAAGGGCTTGGACAATTCTCATCACCAGCTTGTGCCTAACTTTCCTCATCTGGAGGACGGGGAAGAGAGTAGCATCTTCACAGAGACAATGGATGAAGTAAATGAGATAATGTATGTAAACAGAGTTAGACACATATAGTAAGGGCTCAATATATGTTAACCATGAGCATTATGATCCATATGACTCTCGCAAGAGGATTTTTTTGTTAAGTGCAGAACAGGATTTATTAGCACTCCTCACCCTGTCAAATGACAAAAAGGCTAAGTCTTTAGGCAGCAAACAGCTTACCCAAAATCACTTAAGTACTGAATATATACACACACACACACACACACACACACACACACACACACATATATGCACCTACACACATGTATATATTTATACCTATACCTATAATAATAAAAACACACCAAAAATAATAATCTTGTTTCTATAGGCACGCATGGATATATAGAATTGTGTTCACATAAAGAAACATCAATATTCTGATTCAGCAAATAAACACTGTCTATGTTTTGAAGATTCATTAAAATGTGATAAGCCCTTAGTCCCTCTTAATGCACAGTTGCCTCAAAGAACATTTTTAGTCCCTTAATGGCTGTAACTGCTGAAAACCACATAAAACCCATTCATTTTCAGTTTTTCAGGATACAAAACATTCTGTTTCTGGTAGAACACACAGAGTTGAATTTCTGTCACAAGGATAAGAGGAATAACAGCACTTTTTTAAATAAATATAATACCCATAGTATAAAGTAGGCTTACCAAATTAAACATGAAGTTGCAAAAGCCCTGGATGTTTTGTAATTACCTATAGATTCTATACTGGCACTTCAATCAAGCTAGCAATCACCCGGTTAACCATATACCCTCTATTTTACCTCACAAGCAAAGGCTACTGTTAGCAAATGCCTTCTTCCAACTCGTCTGCCTGAAAACTCCTCTTCAACCTTTAAATGCTAGGCATGCATGGCATCTGCTTTGAAACTCTCCCTAATTTCATTCACTCTAACAGAGTGAGTCACAGTCTTCTCTACTGAACAATTTGCATTCTTTGAACATACTCTATTGTTTTATGTACATTAGCCTATCTCTTTGACTGACTTTGGATTTCCAGTGATCCTGCCATGTTTACGTTTCTCCTTTCTCTAGCACATAATAAACACTATTCAGTGTTGATAAAATTCAAATAAATCCTTCTTGTTTCTACATTTCTTAAGACTGGAACTTAATTAAAAATAAATTCATCCTCATGGTAGCTATGACTTTAGTGAAAGTACATAGTCAAGCAAATTCATTTACTGGATAATAGTTCCTTTTTTATGAACAACATTGCCTAATGCTCCAAAAAAATCCACCTAATTCAGTTTTTTTTTTTTTAAAGAAAAAGACAGAAAAGGAAAATAACTGCTGGTGTGACTTGATGCCAGTGATATAAAATGTATGGTAACTTACACTTTAGTCAAGGTCACGCTATTTTGGCATTATAGAGATGCAACATATTCTGCAATATATGTCTTACATGGATGAATGGCTCGTTTTTCTGTTCTGCAAATTACAAGAAAAAATCTAAAATACATTTTACACCAACTAAAAAAGGTTGATGTTCTTCATAAATTCAGAATGCTCAATAACAAACTCTTTAATATTTGTAATTTAAATCCTTTGTAAAACTGCATCATTTTTCCAAAGTATAATTAAATTATTTATTAAGCTGGTGTTGACAGATAGCAATAATATTATTGGCCTTTGGTAATACCTCATTTTCCAGGGATAATTTTGCAAAGCACAGTAGTGTAGGGGCAAAAACATGCACTCTGAACAAGGACAGACTGAATATGAATTCTGACCAACCATTTCTCTGCTGGATGACTTGGGAAAGTTTTTAAACTTTGCTAAATCTCATTTTTCTCATATATTAAGTGGTAACTTATTAGTACTTAATCCATAGGGTTGTCTTGATGATTACATTAAAAAGTACATCTCAAAGTTCTAGCACAACATCTGGTACATAGTATAGCTACCAATATTATATAAACTCCAGGTTTACTCAGTTTACTTGTGCTCTAAAAATAGAAGTGCTATTAGACATAACCATATTGGAATTACAAGACATATCATTATAAAGATGTTTACAGTCTACACAAACTCATACAATTCTTATATGTGTTTACTACTGTGAAAATTTGCTGTTTTTTAATTGATCATTACTTCATCAATTAACAAAATTTATTGTTAAAAATCACTTTATGAACTAAGAAATTCAAAGACTAAGAAAAATAAAAACAGCATTGTAATTCTGTTACCCACCTAGTTAAGGAAGAATAGTAGGAAGGTCTTCCAAGAAGTCCATAAATATTTTTCTAATGAATTCATCACTGAGTTATGGGAATTATGCAAGAAAAGGAATGATCATTTCTTTAAATAAAAACACTGCATACAGTGCTTACAAATTACACAGTAGTATGAATTAGTTTTACAAATCCTCTTGCAGAAGTAATTAGGATCTAGGTTTGAAAATCTTGGAGGATAAAGAGAAAAATCTGAGCACAGGGGCTCCTGAGAGGTCATGCTCTAAGGGAGCGCCAACCCCTTTATCAGCCAGAAAGCCATGTTGGAAAAAAAAATTTTTTAAGTTACCAAAGTTTAATCCCCCTAAAAAAAAGAAGATATTAATTCCTACCTATTATAATTCTCCATTGCATGACACACATTTTTAGGTAATTTGCTGATAGTAAATAACATCTTCACAATAACTGCAGAGTACATTTATATTCATTTAAAGATGAGAAAATTGATCATGGAGGCTATACAACTCTCTCAAAGTCAGAGTATTTAGCAGAACAATAATGTGTAGTAGAGTCTGCCTAATTCTAAAACATCCTTAAATTAAATAACACATAATTTTATTTTACTACTATTATTTATGTCTCAATAGGCAGTCACAAACATTGGCATAGCAGGAAAAAATATATACCCTAAAGCCATAAGTGATGTGTAGAAATAATCTGCTTCATAATCTGTCCTCACCACATACTTATGCAAACAATTAACTAATTAAAAAAAACAGACATTATATCCATGTGCAAAAAATACAATTCTGTGGAGATAAATAAATTTTCAGTTATGATAACTGCAAATAAAATACTACTATAGTCTGACTTTGCCCTTTTATAAGTAGGTTAGAAATAAAGATAATGAATACATGCACAGTGAAATCCCTAAATCATCTGAGTTTCCTCATTTTAGGACCTTAGGTTGAATTTTAGATTCTTGAGGGATAATGTCCCAGACCAGTAATTAAAATGTAATTACTTGTTCTGTGGGATTCTTGGTTGATACTTTTGTTGGTTGTTGCTCCTCTCATCCCTCTACCCTACATATGAGCCTTTAGTATGCTTATATGTTATAGGCCTTCCAAGCGTCCAGGGTGTCCTGGTCCTTTTATATTGCCTAATACTAGTAATCATAAAAAGAGGTGTATTCATCACAAGAACAGCAAAACCTAAAATATGAACTTCAAAGACCATACAGAGAGTCAGTTCCTAGAATCAACTGTATTTTACAGATTGTTATGATCCTCGTATACTCTCAATTCTCCACGTGGCAAATTTGAACACTAGGTTCTTTTCTCTCTGGTGATAGTGAATTCTGGAACCATGTACTTTTGCATAGCAACTAAATGCAAACTGTTTATAAGGAAACAGTAAGCCCAGAAAACTCTGAGCTCAAACATACCATTTCACTTCACTGGCTTTTGTTTATTCATCTTTAAAATGGGCATAATACCTAGATCATTACATTTATTCCATTGTTTTGAACATAAAGAGAGAGAAAAGAAGAAAGAAAAGTAGGAAGAGAGAAAGACAGCAAAAAGTTAACATTAATTTGCCTTGGCTGGGTAGCTTAGTTTCTTACAGCACTGTCCAATGTTGTGGGTTTGATCCCGGTCAGAGCACATACAAGAAGCAACCAATGAATGCATAAATAAATGGAAAAACAAATTGATGTTACTGTATCTCAAATCAGTAAAGAAAAAAAAAGTTAACATTAACTAGTCCCTTTAATGTACAAAGAGCCAGGTTAGCCTCCACATAATGATATCACTTAATCTTAAATGTACTATAGTTGGTTGTTGTAGTTTGTTTGTTTAGTTTTAATATCAATGTCCAGGCCCTTTCCTAAATGAATTAAATCAGAAATAAAATATTGTAGAATATCAAATAACCCACTATTATAAGTTTAAAATAGTTTAATCACAGCAAAGTAATATAAACAATTAAAAGTGGTTTGATCAATGTTTTATTGTTTTAAGTGTAACATATTTACTTGAAATATTGCAATATTTACCCACATGTTTGTCTGTAAGCCAATAATTTGAAAAATGCAATGAGAACATTCTTCAAAAAGATAACATTCCTCTCTGTGGCCTTATACTCTATGTGGCTTTGACATCTTTGTTTCTCAGGCTATAGATAGTAAGGTTGAGCAATGCATTGACCACAGTGTAAAACAAGGCAGCCACTTTGTCTTTCTCCAGAGAGAGGGCGGAGCTTAGCCTTATATACATGAAGAGCAAGGATCCTTAGAACATGACTGAGATGAGAAGAGAAGCACAGGTGGAGAAGGCCTTGCACCTTCCAGAGACTGAGCACTTTCTCAGGATAGCCAGAAGGATGTTGAAATCAGAACTCAGGATGGCAAGAATGCTGGAAAGAATGGTGAAGCCCATCACACCCCGGAGGGCTTTTTCATAGACCTGGATGTCTGTACAGGACATTTTCACCAGTGGTCGTACATCACAGAAGAAGTGGTCAATAATATTTTTACCACAAAAACTCAGGTGGAAAGTGCTGGAAGTGCAGGCCATGGCATTCAAGAACCCTCCTATGTAAGCAGCAGCAACAAGGCCAGTACACAGAGAGCTTGACATAGTACCTGAATAAAGTAATGGGTTACAGATGGCCTTGTGGCGGTCATATGCCATGGCTGCTAGGAGACAGCACTCAGTGCAGGCTACAGCACAGGAAAAGAACAGTTGGGCTCCACATCCAGCCAAGGAAATGTGTTTATCTCCTGAAACACAGTTGGCCAGGATCTTGGGAGTGTACCCAGAGGTATACCAAAAGTCTAAAAATGACAGATTGCCGATTAAAAAGTACACAGGTGTACTTTTTAAAATAACCAGGGCCATGTTCCCTGATGAGGTCATCAAATAAAGTGTCAGAAATATTACAAATAGAATCAGCTGCCACCAGGAGTTTGCTGAGAAGCCCACCAAACTGAAGTCAGGATGGTGTAATTTCACACTTCCAGGTGCACAGAGAAGAAATCCTGATGATAACTTTGGGGAAAAAAATAATTTAGTGACTTTTCTATTACTAAAAAAATAAACAAAGGTATCAGTTAAGTCAACAACTGCTGTGATTCTTATGGGCTTATCCGTGTCTACCTAGTATAATAGAACTTCTGCCTGTGACTTTGGAGGAACGCAGGAACTGGTGTTAGAATATGATTTTGAAATGAAAGCTTTCACTTATTAATTGTTTAATGCAGGGCAAGTCTCTCAGCCTCACCAAACAGATAAGAAAAATGAAGCTTCTGGCAGGTTGTCTGATTGGGTAAAGATGCATGAAAACACCCAGCCCAATATTAGGTACATAAAGAGCATGCAAAAAAATTTCAGTGCCTTTTATATATCATTGAGAATTTATGCGTCATGCATTGTGCTGAAGTTATACAAATACTAATACACATACCACTTCTGCTACAATACAAATAGAAATATATATGTACATATATATCACTGTATGCCAGTTAGTATTCTATTTTAATTTCAACTCACTGAATCATTTCCAGAATTTTATAAATTAAGTATTATGATGATCTTTGTGGAATTCAAGAGACAATTTTGAGGTTACAGGGCTGGTCAGCAGCAGAACTGGTATTTGATCCAGAATTGTCTTCATCAAGAGTGTATGTTTTCAACTGTTAAGCCATATATGTCTTTTACAGGTAAATTGTATCTTTCTTGTTCTCCTAGCTAAGGCAATGCCATAACCCCCTGACAACTTGAGTTTTTTTTACTTATTAAAAAGAGTTTTAAAATCTTTTTTAAAGAATTATTTTCCCTACTTTCTCTTGGTGATGTTAGATGTATATATATTGTTGAGAAATTTTTTGATAAAGTAGATGCTGATCATTAGAAAAGCCTCAATTTTTGGTGTCAGGGATTCATTGAAAAAAACAGTAAATCCTTTAATGTTCATATCTTGAAGCTCCAAAGCTCTCAGAGAGAAACTAAAAGGAGACATTAAATGAAAAATGCAGAATTAAGGCTGATGCTCCAGTAGCCAGCTGAGTTTCTTAGTTGAAAAGGCAGTGACCAAAGCTGAACCAAAAGAACATTGTGATTTAGTTCACTGTTTAAAACATTTACCTTTGAGGGGAAGAGGTGGGGGGAAAAGGAAGGGAAGGGGCAAGTCAAGGAACATACAGCAATGACTCATGGACAAAACCAAAGGGGAAGGGTTGAGCGAGGGAGAGGGTGAGGGGGCAGGGGAAAGTGGAAAACAAACAAACAAACAAACAAAAAATTTACCTTTGAGCTAAACCAGATCAGTTTGTAGCTAGAATGCAAATGCAAGTTTTCTTTTTTTAAATTGTTGTTCCTTTACAGTTGTCCCACCTTTTTTCCTGTTGTTCTCCCCTGCCCTGCCCACCCCTACTCTGACAGTCAATCCCCACCCCATTGTCCATGAGTATGAATCCTCTATTCATGTTCCTTGACCTGCCCCTTCCCCTTCTTTGCCCCATGATCCCCCTCCCCCTTCCCCTCTGGTCACTGTCAGTTTGTTCTTTTTTTCCATGTCTTTGGTTCCATTTTGCTCATTTATTTGTTTTGTTGATTAAGTTCCACTTTCAGGTGAGATCATATGGGATTTGTCTTTAATTGCCTAGCTTATTTCACTTAGCACAAGTTTTCTACCTCAAGATCTACTGTCCCTACTTGTTAGGAAACAAGGAATATTAATCTTTAAATATTAGGTATTTAAAGATTAAGAGACTAGAACTCTCTTCCAAGCCAATAGGCATAGCAGTTTTTCTAAGTGCACCACTTATTTTAAAAAACACATTCTAAAGACAAAAATACAGACTGGTGTTTCCACATTATCCAATGATTCTGTTTGTTTGCTTGTTCATTTTAATTTTGAGCATATAGCTGATAATGATAACATGGAAATAACCTGTAAAATAAAATACAGCCATTGTTTACCAAGTATTTTCATTTAGGAACACTTTGCTCTGTCTGCCATTTTTTTCAGAGCATCTTTAACATCTTTATTTCTTAAACTATAGATCAAAGGATTCAACATTTGAATCACCACAGTATAGAACACCAACACCGCTTTATCTTTTTCCAGGGCATAGCTCGTACTTGGTTGGGAGTAAATGAAGATAATTGAACCATAATACAAGGTGACAGCTGTCAGGTGAGAGGCACAAGTGGAGAAAGCCTTGAGGCAGCCCTGGATAGAGCAGATCCTCAAGATGATGGTGACGATGAAGAGGTAGGAGGCAAGAATAAGCATGATGGGAGTAATGACATTGGACATAAGTATGAAATAGAGCACAGCCTGGTAGTTCTCCTTCACATCACAGGCCAACTTTCCCAAGGGGAGGAAGATCACAGAAAAAATCATCAATGATATTATTCCCACAGAAGCTCAAGGTAAACGTCTTGCTTGTAATGATGGTTGAGTTAAGAAAGCTGCCAAGGTATGAAGCTGCAACAAGGCTGGTACATAGACTTGAGGATACTGCCTGGGAATAAAGCAGGGGGTTGGAGATGGCCACATAACGGTCATAAGCCATGGCAGCCAACAGATAACATTCAATATAGGCCAGGCCAGCTGAGAAGAAGAACTGAGCGAGGCAGCCAGCAAAGGAGATGCTTTTGTCTTCAGAGATGCAGGTCATAAGGATTTTGGGAGCATAGACAGAGGAATACCAGAGATCCAGGAATGGATCTCTGAAAGGTTTCCAATGAAGGAATCCTTGGGTGTGTGAAGCTAAGAATCAGCACAGATCAGAGAAGTCAGGGTGATGTTCCCCAAAAGACTGATGATATAAATGATGAAGAAGATGAAAAAGAGCACACTTTGTAACCATAAGTCAGCTGTAAACTCTAAAAGTATGAACTCTTTCACGTGGATGAAATTTTTCTCATCCATTGATTTTGAGTGCCTACAGTCTCTCTGCAAATAGATGAATAAATATGGCATGATTTAAGATATATATAAGCTCCCTCATCATCGAGCATTTGAGATCATCGAAAAGCCTAACTGATACACATGTTGTTCATTGTGAGACATGTTTATGCTGAACTGGGTATTATTCGTGTTGGATAACTGAAAAATTGTTCTATCCTGGCTTGAGAGATAAGTTATTATAAAAACAGCAGAGTATATGTCACCTTACCTTTTTAATCTATTTTTCCTCCTTATTAGAGAGGGTGATTTGTGTATCTTGTCTTCTGTTTGCACTTAGGGTAATTGGGGACCACGTGGAAGATATAAAAAGGGGACTTAGAAAGCATGTGCTGATTTCTCTTCTGGTCTGAATCCTTTTGTCTTTTTCCAAAGAATTACATGAAGAAGAACACTTTTATTATTCTAATGATATTTTGGAGTATCTTTAGAAGTTCTTTTTACTGTGAATTCTTTGAACATGATTGTATTTTATACAACTTTTTACCCACAATACCAAGAACAGGTTTTCAGAAGGTAGAAAATGTGTAACTTGAATAAAAGAATAGATTTCCTTAAATAATAGGAATTTAAGACCATAGTTACTTTTCTGACCCTCAAAAATACTGTAAAAGGAAGTAAAAAGATTAATCAATCAATAATGGTGTTCACAATGTGTTTGAATTTCCTATAGCAACAATTTTCAACTGACGTACCATAGAATTTTTAAAACATGCAATACCTGACTATTTAGTCAGAGTCACTGACCTTTTTTCCCTTAGATTGCCAAATTTAAAAAAAAAAAAAAACACCTAACAACAGCCAACACACTAGCCATCTGATGTGAATGAAGCAAAATTTGTGAGGTAGGCAAAAAAATATATCTTTGGTGTGCTACAGAATTTTAGTAATTAGTTCATGCGTGCCATGAAATGAAAAAGGTTGAAAAATCACTGTCCTATAGAATCAAGAGTAAAAAAGCCAAACAAATAAATAAACAACTAAGGTGGCCAAACTGAATGATTTGTGGGAACATCATAGACTGAATAATGGCCCAGAAAGATATCCAGGTTCTAATTCCTGAAATCTTGGAATATTACCTTATATGGGGAAAGAGTTATTAAGAATCTTGAGATGGGCAGATTATCAGGGTGATCCCTAAATAAAATCACAAATATCCTTATATGAGGGTGGCACAGGGACATATGACTTCAGCCACAAGAGGAAGCAGTGGGGCCAGAGAAAGCGTAGTGATACAATCACAAAAAAAAAAAAAAAAAAAAAGATGCCAATAGCCATAAGAAGCCAGAAGAGGCATGGAATGGACTCCCAACTAGAGACTCTCGATGGAGTGCAACCCTGCCAATATCTTGCTTTTGTCTCAGTTGTATTAACTTTGGACTCCTGACCTCCAGAACTCTGAGGGAATAAATTTTTGTTGTTTTAAGCCACCGAGTTTGTGGTGATCACGTAATACAGGAAGTTCTGACACTTGACCTCTACTGTCTTCCTGACTTCAGAGGTAGAAGCAGGTAGCTGAACCTTTGATGGCAGCGATGGGACAAACACCATCTTTGCTCATCTGTGTTACAACCCAGTACACATGACAATATGCCAAAATCAAAAATGGCTACATTACTATTATCAGGTTCTGAATTGTCAGGGGGTGTAATAGTTCTGCTATTCAATCCAAGGCTTTAAAAATATTTTCCGCTAGGGAGAAAAAACTTAATCTTAGTCATATATTCAAGTATGGGCTTAAAATTGAGCTAGAAAAACTGCTTTTAAACACTCTCTTGAAACTGTATCTATTTGATGGTAAGACTCTATAATTTTTAAATTTAAATAAATATGCTATAGTCATTGTCAAAGTAAAAATTCTTCATAAAAAGCAAAAGAAGGTTGGAATAAGTGACATTTTGATTCCCTTAGTATTTCACAGCTGTCAGCTTCTAAGGTCATTTTTAACAAAGCCTATATCTGGAAGCAGCTTAAGAGCAAGAATCAAGAGAACTGGGTTCTGGTCTTGGTTGGCTGCTGTCAATTTTAAATAAACATAATTTCCAAATTCTATTTTTTCATCTACCTTTCTTAGTTCAGTGGGACTTTTAAAGCTCACAGATGTGAGAAAGCACTTTGAAAAGTAAAAGTTGGAACTGTGTAGTGCCTTCTCTATGATTTCTTCACCTTTGTAATCTGTCCTTCAGATATGTTATTCGCTTTACCTCTCAAGGACTTCCAGTTATACCTAAGCTACAAGTCCCTAGAGTTGGTGTGTCTTCATGCAGAGACTTGAAAAATTGCAGGGCCTATTTGTAAAATTACAATTGGGTTTAAAAATTGAAAGACATTTCTTCCCTAATAGTTCTTGTGTCCTTCAACAGTAATTAAAATATAAAATAAGCATGTGAATATATATGAGTGTATGTGTGTATATATAATGCTTTTACAAATAAAAAAGGGTTGAAGGTGGCTTAGTATGATTCATAAGACACAGATAAGTACTGTAAATGTGAAAAAGAAAAGCAACACCTGGATATAAAGTAAGACAAGGATAAAACCTGTTGCATACTCCAACAAGTCCTATCCATGGCTCTGTGCACACCACAGATTTAACTGGAAACTTTCTATAAATGCAAATATGCAATTAGTAATATCCAAAAGACAAGCTACTGTCCAAAACAACTGAACAACACATTACCGTTCTTGATAGTAACTTTGAAATAATTTCCCACCGAGTTTCCCTGTAAAGAGAATGAGGGAAATTTAAGCCACAATATATTGAACTGTAAGATTATATACATAGACATAAAAGAGAGGGGTTTTTTAGTTACCTTTACTTGCCAGTAATTCGTAGACTTAAAGCTGGCTGCATGCCTTGTTAGAGCCAAGGGATGCTCCGACGTCATCTGCCCACCAAACCTCCTCCTCCCTGCCTTCACTCACCTCCCTTCACCAGGAGGCCGCTTGAAGAGGTGAGCGGCTCTGAGAATGATCACCCAAAAGGAGCTGATCCCTTAGTGATTTCTCAATCCTCTCCAGGCTTAATGCACCTGCCATCCCTATCACTCAGTTTGATACATTAATCAGATACTTCTTGAGTTAGATATTAATTATAAGTGTATAGTATAATCTCAAAGATATAGCCTTATCTCTGTAATACTCATAATTGCATTCCTCTTAGGGAGCTCCTACCCCATGTACTGCCTACATAGAAAAAGAAACATTTTTAAATCATGAAAATATTAGCATTTTAATTTTTTATACATGGGCTTACTATAAGGGCCAATAAATTTCTTGCGAGATAACACGAGATACAATGACGGGTCACACACAGCTACAGAGGGTTTATAAGAAGGAAAATATTCATCCAGTACACATCTAATCGCTTGTTTCACTGAAAGTGAAAATAAGGCCTAAAGAAAAGACATTTCAGCTTTCCTCATCAAATATAGAGGAAAGAAAATTTTCACAAATTGGAATTTTGATATGTTTTCATTATATTAAGAATTATTTTGTCTTTTTTTCATATTATGATTTACCACTCTTTACCCATAGTCAATCAAACATAATACTTTATGAACATAAATTGCCACTTCATTGGAATTTCAACTCAAGTCCAGAATTTCTCACATTACCTTAGAATAAAAAATACCTTCTATTCACCCAAAGAAATCCTCTTTCCAATGCTAACAATACTGGGAGAGAATATAAGCCTGAGCATTCCTTTGGGATAGGATGCAAAAAGCAAAGAATACCTTCATGGGCTATTCTGGTGCCAAGTAACAAATTATAAAGCTCAGTTATCTCTCTGGAATGAAGGATGAAGCATTGTTCCAACTAACCTGTAAAGCCTCTTTGCTTTGTGAGTTTCATTCATACACTTGAGATAAAAGAGAATTTGGCATAAAGGGATGACCAACAGAATAGTCTTCATACAGTGGGTGCTCAAGAATTATTTGCAGTCCCTAATAATAATAAAAATGAAAAGACCATAGAATTTATTTCTGAAACATCTCAACTATCGCTTAATAAAATGAACCCATTTACAAACAATGAAATTGAGAGACAGTACCAAAGTCATGTGGTTAGAGCAAACTTTTATCTCAACATCCGAACATGGTTATATTTATTCTTTCAAAATTTATTTTATTAAGCAACTTTTATGTGGCCTAAAAAGGAATCCCAGCTCTGCAACACCCTAATCAGGTGACCAACAGCACTTCCCTTAAAATCACCAAGCTTCAGTTTTTTCCATCTATAAAATTGAAATAACTTGCCTTCTTCATGAAGTTGTTATAAAAATTACATGAGATAATATATAATGACATTTTGATAAATATCAATGAAAAAGTTAAAAACTAGCAAAAACAAAAATAAAAGTAAAATGGTAAGAAATATAGATACAGTGCCTGCCTTTGTGAAATGTATGACCTCATAGGACAGGTAATCAAATAATAATATAAATTTATACTTATAAATTAGAGTCAGTATATGGAGTAGCAATAACATGGTGTCAGCGATTGTATACAACACCTGGCATAGAGTAGGATCTTCGAAAAGATTTATCTGAGGAGGTTATATTTGACCTGAAAACTGAAGGATAATAACAAACCTTCACTAATCAAAGGAGGTGATAAAGTTGGAGGTGGCAGACTGCTGGAAGGGTACAAAGGATAGTCTGGCAGGTTCTAAAAAGGGCAGAGTTCCGAGCTGAGGAAAAGCATTGTGGATTCCAGGAAGTGAAAGAAGTTCAGAGATGTCAGTGTCTTTTCAGTCTCTACCCCCAATATACCTCTTTGTTTCCAGGTCGAAGAGGGAGCTACATCCAAGCATAACCCAGCTGGGGAGTGCAGAATACTGTTCTGGGTGGAGCTGAGGGGCAGAGAGCACATGGGTACCACTGAGGAATGGGACTGTGCTAATTGTCACGAAAGAGTTTATAGAAAGTGCCAGGAAAGTGTAGTAAGGGGGTCTAAAAGAAT